ACAACAAGTAACAAACAATATCACTTTTTCAAATGTTGCATACCATTAATTCTGGTTGGCTTTTAATGATAGCAATAATACAAATTATTTAGTATACTATAGTAAATCAATATATAACCACTAATATAGAACACAGATGATACATCTATATCAATGTATATTTATCAACAAGTGTTCCGATGATTTCTGATATAACACAAACTTGAGAGTTATCAAAAGTACTCTTTGAATTTGGAATATGCATTTCTGAGGTTTTATGACATGGCCTTTTCTTTTTTTCTTTTATGTGGCTCACATCTTTTCTCCCATCATCTCTTTTCTTGTATATAAACATTCAACTATTATTTTCCTGTGCTAAAACAACTACAAAAATGTTACAACAAACACAGTTCTTTTTATTTCATTTTCCTCTACGTTTACTTCACCAAGACTTCTCCATGTGTGTGTAACTTCACTGAGACATGTATAGAGAGTTTGTAATGTATCATGTGTATAATGTATCACTTTTTATCACACTCCCCTCCGTTCATTTCGTCAACATTTTATTCCCATAACTCCACTGAAAACAATCTCCTCCAACATCTCCAGGAACCTATAAGTTGTCCAGTCCAGGTTTTCATTATTCCTATTCTTAAGAAACCTGAATTTACAATAGCATTGGCTATAACTGATGACTTCTTCTCATTATACACTCCTCTGGTTCTGTGATACCCTGATACCGTATTTTGCTTACCTCAACAACCATCACTGAAATCTAGGTCCTGTGAGTCACGCACCCCGAGATCTTTTAGGTCTCCTCTTCCGCCATCAGCTAACACTGAGTTCATTCTAGTGGCATTTATTCCGTTGTCTGATTTTCACTGACTGGAATGCTCCCAGGCTAAGTAGAGGACCTTTTCTTCCCTAGCTATACCCTCTCTTAAGATAACCAAATGAAGTTATTATTAGATAATCAAATGAGATGCCTTAGCTAAATGTTGTCTTTATAATGAAGATTACTGAATTTAAGTCCTCAGTTGTGATCAGGCCTTTGCTCTCCAAGAGTATGATAAGTTATCTAAAAGTGATGTCATTTGTAACTGACAATAGTAAAATCTGGATATCCATTCACACGGAAATACACATTCCACACATTCCAACTTGTCCTCTACCACTTTTCACAAAGCTTTGTTTTTCATGTTCTTCACTATTCTAAAGTGCTATGGAGCTTAAGAAAGTACTGTCATACCTTCTGTTCTTTAAATCTCATAATTGGTTAAGCTGAAAATTTTCTATTTTATGTATGAAATACACTATATAAAACAATATTCAAACTTATACACACAATAAACAAATCTATATATAAATATATGCAAACCATATGACACTGTATAAGCATTTGCTTCAAAACTCACAGCAGCATTTGAGACAAGAACTTTGTCATTCTAGTGAAAATCCAATCCTGTAACATGGGGGGTGGAGGGTCTTCAAATGCCCCATAATTTTAAAGGCCACATGAAGGGCTGAATCCTGAATTTTACAGATATTATTTTAATTATATTTTTTCCTTGCTCTAAATTTGCAGCATAAAATAAAAAATACCCTTTTAAACATTGAAATTTAGATACTGCACTTTAATACTTATATTTATAGAGAGATAAGCAAAGTAAGGGAATAAACTCTTCATCTTCAAAATGACACACGCCTTTTAACTACACGAACCACATTCCACTGTCATTTCCTAAATTAAGTAAGTATGCCTTGGAGTGGTTAATTTATACTTCAATGTGTCCTTCAATGTATCTTTCCATTTTTAAAATGAAAAGGATTAGCTGACAAACCGCAGTAGACCCCGACTTAATTATGACTCCTGCCAAGAGAAAGGAAGAAGCAGGTGAATCACTTTTCTGAACTTTATTGCACAGTACAAATGCCAGAGGTGATACAGAGCAGAGACTTATATACCATAGAAATTTAGATAGCAAAGTTCATATAACCACATGACTAGACATCATGAGAAAAAAATCTAATATATAGAAAGGTATACTTTTTTCACATTAGGGATTTACAGTAGTTTTTTTTTGTTTGTTTTGCTTTTCTTTACTACTGAATGAATTATGGAGAGTTTCTCAGTGCATGTATATCTGCTTGAAAGATGGCAATAAAAAGCATTTACAAGAAAAATACTTTCAGAAAAAATTTCCAATTATTATTTTAGGGTAATTTAAATTTTCCACATGAATAGGAATTTTAGCTAATTTATGTCTCAAGAAAGCTTTTAATTAAATAAGCTGAACCTCAAATCTTGAATGCAATCTAAGGTAATGGTGCTACTGAACATAACAATTTTATCTTCACGCAAATAATGGTGAGATAAGGAACAAAGAAATATTTAAAAGTTATTGTTTGCTTACTGAAATGAAATGGGGACTTATACTGAACACTAGTGAGATGACAGATGTTAGGGAAAAACTGGACACACTTTTAAATGCTAAGAGAATTAATTTTCTTATAAAATAAACTTTAATTTTATGAAATCTCTACCTAAAGACTTATTTGAGAAGTAAAGTTTGACAAGCATAAAAGCCAAAAATCTTTAAATTTATTTCAAACAAGTCTTCATGATATTTGGAAATTTTTGGTGATGAATGATTTAAGCTTCAGTTAAACTTGGAAGAATCAGGATACAAATTTTTGTTCCCATACAGTCCATTTGGGCAAACAGTAAATTGCCAAACTGGGGTTTACTAAGAGCACATATATTTTTTCAAAAGGAAACTTAGAAATCTGAATCGTGAATTTCCTTTAAAGCATTGCTCTCATAATTTTGCACATATTTACCTTCTAGCAGTATTTGTTGCACAATTATAGTAATTTTCAAGAAATCTGAATCTTGTCCCCCACCAAAGCACAAAAATCTATCAAAAATCAGCACACACCTTGATCAAATGAATACATCCAAGGAAACTGTCAGTGTTCTGAAAATTTTAAAAATTTGATTTTGTTTGTTCCTCTACAGAAATGTGGGCTCAAATACAGAAAATATCCAGTTATTTTTCTACCAAGCAGAAAATCCATCCAAGATGGACGGACAGTGAAGAAAATCACAGGAAAATTAATTTGGGCCTTAAGCACATGAATGCCAAAATCTACCTTGGTTCTTGCCTTTGGCAGTCACGTGAGACCTCATCTTTTTTAATTCTCCAGTTTGGGTCAGGTTTGTACTTATGTACAAAGGGTATAAAGTGGGAGGAAGAAGAAATTTTTTCCAGGAGTGGAATTACAAGTACAAGGAAGAATTCTTTAAAGGTGAGCAAAAATCCTACTCTCTCAGATAAGCTGTTGAAAATCTTTTTGTCAGAGTTGCAAGATGGTTGACTAACTGAAGTCACTCACTGTACTTCAGAGCATGTGCTCCCAGCATTGCAGCATCCATCAAAGGAGAACCGAGATCCTGCACGATGATGAATTACATCGCCCCAAAAGGAACAACTGTTGTGTTATGAATCTTTAGAAGCTATAGAGAGAAAAGAGAAGAAAACTTTACCAAAAATGTTTTTTCCCTTTGGTCTGCAACACGTACAATCATACAAGTATTAACTCCTTTAATTTTCAAGGACTAGAAATGCAAAAGTACCTAACATGCACCAAAAAAAAAAAAAAAAAACCATCAAAAACATAGATCTGAGTGATATGGGGGGAAAATACGGACAAAAAGAAAACATGTAGCCTGACCTTTACATACATCAACTTCTGGACAAAAAAGTAGACACACATTTTATGAAAATTAAATCAGCAAAAAGGTTTGGAAGACAAAAATACTATGACTACTCACCACCGCAGCCTACTGTTTCTAACTGCTTCTGTAGAATTACAAGTACATCCCCCAAAGACATCTGATACAGATATTTCCCAATGGACGCAATAGTATGATTGGAACATTTTTAAAATTTGTTTGTAAGATCCACTTGTTTTTCAAGTTATTTTAGGTTAGTACATTAAATGTATTTCATGTGTACTTAGTCAATATTCCTTTTATAGATTAAGACTTGACACTCCTTATCTTTCAGAGGCCAAAGCCATGGTATAACAGATAGACCAAGGTCTGATCCACTGTACCCCATATGGTCCAATGAACACTGCCAGGAGCAATCCCTGAGTGCAGTCAGGAGTGAGCCCTGGGGCCCACAAGGTGAGCCCCCTCCCACCCTTGCCCTCCCCCCAACAAAAATTCACATTATCTTTCAAAAATTCGTACAGTCTAAAAAAGTGTTTTTCTAGTTGCTGCAGATACCAAACTTATGACCCATGAGCAATTTTAATAAATGTATCAAAATGATTCAACTATGATTTTCCTTTTGTAGCAGATATTTAATTTGTTGATTTCAGTTAACAAGTATCTAAGATGGACAAGAATGCTTTCATCTCTTAGTAATACTTTTACATTAATGATATTTTGATTCAGAATATGGTAACAAATCTTTACACATTATCCATTAGCATTATTTTAACTGGGATGCAACACTAACAACCTCTACCTATAAAATACACCACTATTCTGGTGACTTTACAAATTTTACTTTTTAAATTCTAAAAACAATCTTAGAAAGTAGGGAACAATTTAAAAAAATGTTATTTGTGTTAACTTCCACCTGTATATTTCCATTTCATTTAAAAGAAAACACCGAAAATATGTTCTTGTTGAACGCGACCATATTGCTGATGCTTTAAAAGATGGGTGGAAACAGCAAATTGTGCCACTGATGTACGGGTCTTTGTAGTTCTACGAATCGTTAGGAAAGTGTTCAAAGGTAAGCAATAAAATGTTAGTGATTCACAAACTATTCTGATGACAAGTAGCTTCGTCTAAACCAGATGTCCCCACTCCTAATCGCCCACCCCAAAAAATGCTTTTTTAAAAAACGGCACAAAACAATAGCCTCCCCCCCCCCCCCGAAAAAAAAAGAAAAATTCAGCACAAACTATTTTTAGAGAACCAAAAAGATCACTAGTGCAGAATATCTTAAAAACCGGACTTCTTTGGGTATATAGAGCCAGGAGCTTGCAACTCATTGAGAAGGTCTCTCTCTCCTCAACCGATTGCCAGCTGCCAAGCCATTCTCCGTTCCTCGTTTGGACCTGCCTTTAGTCCGTTTCTTCTTCACACCTGGGACCTGAAGGCTGTTCTCTTCTTCCATCCACCTCTGCAGCTGGGCCATCAGTAAATTCCAGGTGACGTAGGCTTGAATCGTGAAACTGGAGGAGAGAACTGCAATTTTGGCCGCTAGCACGTTCACGTTGGCAGCGAAGGCCTCCGGATCACGACTCCGTTCTCCGGACAGGTGAAAGCCGGCGGTGACCACGGAGACGATGAGAGTCACGAGCCGCCCCACGATGATGGCCCACAGGGAACGCTCTTTGGGGAACTTTTCGTCGCTGAAGTAAAACAGATCACACACGTGGTACAGGAACTCCACGAAGTAATGCAGCATGAGAAGGACCAGGCCCAGATGGTTCAAGTACAGCAGATAGGCCCCGGCGATGTGGAAGAGGTGAAGCCCGATGTAGATGAGCTGGCGGGGCAGGTCCTGTTTCTTGGTTCTCTGGAAGTAGAGCTCGGGAAGCGCATGGAACCAGTAGGCCAACTGCGAGATGTAGAAGAACTTCATCTGGAACGTCATCATCTTATGGGGCTGCGCCCTCCACATGAGGGTGGGGTCGGCCAGGCAGTTTTCCGAGATGAGCACGAGCGTGCCCCACACGCAGGACACCAGGTAGAAGGCGCTGAACTGCCCGGCTTCGTTGAATCGGCTCTGTTTGGGCTTGGGGAACTGCATGCGCCGGTTGAATCGGTCCAGCACGTAGTCCTGGAAGGCGGCGTGGAGGATGACGGCCACGAGCATGTAGAAGAAGACGGTGGCCAGGTCCTTGACGCCGTAGCAGTAGAGGGACCTGGCCTCGGCGGCGCGGTCCTGCGCGGCGGGCACCGTCACGCCGTGCTGCAGCGTGAGGAACACGATGGACACCTCGGCCGTGCCCTCGAACATGAGCCCCAGCACGAAGAACATCCCGACGCAGGCCACGAGGTCCGCGTGGTTCTGCAGGATGAATTCGTGGCTCAGCACCGGGGGGTTCTTGGTGCCCTTCTTCCGGAACGCCATGGCGGCGCCTCGCGGCTACTCACCGGCGGCCGGCCGCCTCCCCGCCCCCGGCTGCTGCTCCCCGCGCCGCGCCCGCCTCTGCAGTTCCCGGGGCCGGCGCGTCCCCGGCCCGCGGCCCGCCCGGGCCCAGGTCGCCGCCGCCGCCGCCGCCCCGACAGCGTCAGTCCCCGGCGCGGGCCGAGCCCGACTGAGCATGCGCGCCCGGCCGGGAGAGCGCGCGCCGGCGTCAGGCCCGCGGGGGGCCCGCCCGGATTGGCCGGGGGCGCCGGGGCAGGGATGCTCCCGTGGGGTCGTGACGGCGCCGGGAGGGAGTCGGGATGCTCGCCGCCGAGATGCCGCTCGGGAAGGCGGCGGAAGCTCCGGGAGCAGAGCCAAGGCCCAGGGGGGTCGCTCAGCGCCGGCTTTGCTAACCCACCGCCGCTATGTTAGAGACTGTCTCTTCTGCAGGGATTGGGGGGGAGGGGAAGGGCAGAAAGAGAAACTGAGGCACAGAGCGGTTAAATAATATGACCCGGATAATAGCGCTGGTAGTTACACATCAGCCAGGGCTCAGTCTGGATCCACAGCAGGTGCTCTGAACTGTTGAACACTGTATATTACCTCTAATTGGAAATCAGTCATAGCTTGGGAATACCTGACTGCGGCAACAATAACAAAGTGTGCTAAGAACTGTCCTGCCCTTAGCAATAATAAAAACAACAACAAAATTGTGATAATACTATCCTCCAGTCAGGAACAGTATATGTTGCATTTTAAAAGACCGGAGTGATGCCTGGAAGCATTTAAAGGTCTTCTGGCTGCAAAACCTCTAACAGCTCTCTCTACTATAGAAGAAAACTGCTTCATAATTATGTTTATTTGCATATAACATTCCTAGCAGAAAGCAGTTGTTTTATAAATGCTGACACTTTTTTGTTTCAATTGAAATTCCATGTCATGTTCAAATCTCTCATTGACTCTAGCAATTACTCTAGATTCCTCTGTGCCTTCTGAGACCATAACCTTTATTGATAGTTAAGGGTTGAAGTTTGGAAAATAGATTTCAGAAGAAAGGGAGCTCAGTGATATAAAGAATATCAAGTTTAATTTCCCATTAAATTTAATTTTATGAAAAATTAAATGTCATTAAATTTGTAATGCCCAGTAGCTCTTTATTCTCATTTCTCTACTGTACAGAACTGCCAAGAGATAGGATTTAACCTGGATGATTTCTTTTTTAAAGTTTTTTAAATATTACTTTAATTTTATAAAGTTGTTCACAATAATTGATTCCATTCAATATTCTAACACCAATCCCACCACCATTACACCATCCCAGCACCATATTTTGAATTATTGCACCCTGAACCCCAAAGCCTACTCCCAAAGCAGAACATAATGATTTACTTTGTACTGCCTGTTATGTGGATAATTTCTTTTAGATACTGAACAAAATATTTTCTATTAAAAGACATTATGTCTAAACCTCTGATAACAGCCAAACAATTCTGTACAGAATTTGCTGTAGGAAATGTTCTGTAGGAACATTTACTCAATGCAATTGGAAATCAGTCATATCTGGGAATACTTGACTGCAGCAACAATAATAAATTGTGCTAAGAATTATCCTGCCCTTAGCAATAATGTTTTTGGTTACTGTGTCTGGCATATCGAATACTCTCGGTAGCTTGCCGGGCTCTCCGAGAGGGGTGGAGGAATCGAACTCGGGTCGGCCATGTTGGCTGCATGCAAGGCAGACGCCCTACCCGCTGCATTTTTTTAAAAAATGTGATAATACTATCCTCCAGTCAGTAACAGTATTTGTTGCATTTTAAAAGACTAGGGTGATGGCTGGAAGCAGTTTATGTAAACGTCTTCTGGCTGCAAAGTCTCTAACAGCTCTCTCTAGTATAGAAGAAACCTGTAGAGCTTATAGAAGACCTGTAGAAGAAACACACACCTATAGAAGAAAAGAAAACAGTATTCAGCAAGACATTGTTCCTAGGAATGTTCCTACATATAGGAAAACTATTATATATTTTCACACAGTGAGAAGGTTCTGTTTCTCAAAGGATTCTTTAGTGGCTAGATACTTTTTTTGAAGAGTTGAAGTACTGCATTTTCTGTAGTTGTTTTTTGTTCATTTGTTTTAATTGTTAGTTATTAGCACTGACAGTTCAATTATAAGTGTTCTTTGAGTTCATCTAAGTAAGTGATGAGTGAAAATAGTGGAGAATAAAAAGGAGCACTTATATACAAACAAAAAATATCAAACCTGTAGAAGGCAGCTCACAAGAATCAAAGAAATAAAAGCAATGCTCTGTGAGAATTGTCAAGTTCACTTGGGAAAACATATTTATCTTTTTAAAACTCATAAGCTGAAACACAAAATTGACCAATATTCTAAGAGGTACAGACAACATATTTATGATCATTTTACAGCAGAGTAAGTAGAACTGACACTTTTCCTTCTACTTGGGTTTGACATTTAGACATATACTCCTAATATGGCTGTGCAAATATGATTTTTTTTTTGCCACAGAAAAAGTACAAGGACAAACAGTGCAAATACTTATGCACAGAAGAAAATTTTATTTTAACACCAATGAACTAAAAGCCATCATGAATTTTATAAAATAATCTCTTTAAAGTAAAATCAATTTTCTCCTCCTGTTATTTGTTTTGTTCTGTTTGTTTGTTTGTTTTGTTTTTAAGAAGCAAAACATCAGGGCCAGAGCAAAAATGCAGCAGGTGGGAAGTTTTCCTTGAGTGAAATGCTCCTGGGCTTCATCCGTGGCATCCAATATGATCCTATGAGAAATTCTAGGTGTAACTCCTGAGTGCAAAGCCAGGAGTAACCCCTGAGCACCGCCCCCCCCCCCCACCCCCCACTCACCAAGAAAACCGTGTTCAGCAAGACATCATTCCTTTAAGTTTGTAACCAAATGTATTCTACAGACTAAATTTTCTACTAAAAATTTACATTAGGGCTGGAGCAATAGCACAGCGGGTATTGCATGTGGCCAACCCGGGTTCGATTCCCAGCATCCCAAATGGTCCCCTGAGCACCGCCAGGGGTAATTCCTGAGTTCAGAGCCAGGAGTAGCCCCTGTGCATCACCAGGTGTGACCCAAAAAGCCAAAAAAAAAATGTACATTAAATAGGGTCTAAGTACTTGAACTTCTCAGTTTTTTCTTCAAGAAATTTGCTGTAAATTAACTTCTGAAATTATTGACATAAGTAAGGATATTATCAAATTGCATAATTTTAAAAATTTATGTAACACATCTCTTGCTTTCAGTTATTTCATTGGTACTATTTGGTATGTAATGTATGTAACAATATTTTCCAAAAGTTGATGCCACAATTATTATATCATTAAATACATTTGGGGACTCTTCCTTTATGCACAGGCTGACACTTGTCAAAATAAAATTATGAAAATTCAAATAAGGACTTCTGCTTCTAAGCATGAGGGAATATCACCAATTGAACTGCCATTGATGCAGTGAGTAATTGGAACTTACATATTAGATATTAACACAGGACTCTGGTCCCTGAATGATGTAAGGCAAGTGAGTTCTGGTTGACAATTGCCTTGACTGTCTTTATGGAAACATTTTCCAGTTCACTATAAAAGTTAATCCAAGAAGTGCCTGAATATCTTTGCTGAATTGAGGCAAGAGAGGTGTCGAGAGAAGCTGAAGCAACAGAAATTTGCAGGACAGAGTGATTTGGCAGACAAAGAGAGATGGAAAATTCAATCCAGAAATTTGTCTGAATGTTCCCTCACAACTGCTACTCATATTAAGTCGTCCGTTTGCCTTTAAATATATGGGACCAAGCAAAGAAGAGTAGTTGAAATGCATGATGAAAATTTCTAAGAATCAAATTGAATTAAGTGATTTCCAAGTACGCAATGATCAGAAAGTAAGATCTCCCTCAAGCACCTGGGAAACTCCATACTCAGAAGAAAACAAGAAAAGTTACAGGAAGCAGAAATGCTCAACTTTAAGGAAAAGCAAATTCACAGTTACCTGCAATTTCCAAGAAGGCTTAAAAGAACTGCACAAGTAACTAATCTATCTCCATAAATTACTCTGTCAAATTACTAATAGCTCAGTACATAACTACTACCTGTCAGAAAAATCTAGTAGTCAGCAGATATAATTCGCATTAGCTATGCTGTCACATTAGCTCCGCTGTTGAGACTATAAGAATCTATCCTCAAGTGTTTGCCCTGACACTCAGCGACAGCAGTAGGATTGAATTTCATAGCAGAAAATAACAGGGACACGATGTAACGTAACATTGGAAATTATGTTGTTTCACCTGTAACAGGATATTGGAAGTCTCATTGTTTCATTTAAATTTTCAAAGATGTCACAAGACTTTCTGCTTTAATGTGTGGTTGGGGGCTCTGGGGAGTTTAAGTACCACCTCTTAATAACAGGTGTTTATGGTTAAATCCTTAAGCAGCTAAATTCTTTCCCTGGGCAGTGGATTGTTTCCTTTAAAATGAAATAAATATATACTAATACCTCCCAATGCTAACAAAAGTGTCATGCCAATATAGCAGCAAGCTCCTATTTATCACTCAGGCAATTCTAAGCTAAATCAGATCTAGTCATAGAAGTACTCCTGGGCAGTTTCCTTTGTTAACCTTATTCATGAATGAAGAACTTGTGAATCAAAGAAAAAAGGTTTCTCACTTCCATACATCCAAGGCAGAGGAGGCAGAGGAAAATGCAACAGGTATTTCCGTTCCAGAAGTGAGTCAAGGAGAAGCACAAAACAGTCAGTAATAGCAATTATGAAATATAGCCAGGAAGAGTCACCAGCTCTTGACTTGAACCCAGTCTTGTCTCCTGGGAAATGAAGATTAATTTCTTTGGGCCTTCAAATACACAGATTCAGGGGTTGGTGTGATAGCACAGCAGAGAGGAAGCTGGCCTTGCACACTGCTGACCTGGGTTCAACCAAGAGTTCCCCCAGAGCTTGTCAGGAGTGATTCCTTAGCACAGAAACA